GGGGGGGGGGGGGGGGGGGGGGGAATGGTCGTGGTCTTGGACATTGTCAGTGCAATGCGTTAGTGTGATGCACACCGTTGGTGATCTCCTCTCCTTACGAAGGGATCAATGGGGGGACCGAGAGGGGTTTCCCAAGGGGAGATTGATATCGTAACGGAATAGAAATTCTGGAAAAACATGTGGAAAAGGAAGAACTGGAAAAAATGATCTAAAAAGAAAAGAGCATCTGGGAAAAAAAAAGCAAAAACAAAAAAAAACGGATGGAAGGATTTTTTTTGGCTAAGTAAGATCAAGTGTAGTATCTGTTCTGATCATCAGTTTCATATCTGGTCACGGGTCCATCGTGCCACATAAAAAAATAATAATTAAAAAAAATCCATCGTGCCACATTAACAAAAAATAAAAAATAAAAATTGCGAAAGATTAAGAAGGGGTCGAGGTGGGTAACGTGTGGGTTCCGGAACGGAACGGAACGAAACGGAGCGAAACGGGACCGTTACGCTTTTAAAAAAATTACAATGAAGAGGGATCGACGTATGGAGTTAACGTAACGTAACGGCACGTAACGGGGGGAGAGAGAGAGAGAGAGAGAGAGAGAGAGAGAGAGAGAGAGAGAGAGAGAGAGAGAGAGACTCAATTCATCACCACAACCGTTCATCGCCTACAGACACACACACACAGAGAGAGAGAGAGAGAGAGAGAGAGAGAGAGAGAGAGAGAGAGAGAGAGAGAGCTGAGGCTACACACAAGTGTACGGAGGGAAAGAAGGAATAGGTACGGGAGGAATAAAAAATACAATAGCAGTATAAAAAATCTCATACTCAAAATCCTTCTGCTGGCTGCAAATCTTCGGTTGGTAAGTTGTTGTTGTTGTTGTTTTTTTTTTTTTTTTTTTTAATGTTCTGACGGTGGATCGCCCTCCAGGTTATCTCAGGAGTTGCGGAGTGCTTTGGTTAACCTTGGAAAATCCTTTTTTTTTTCTTTTTTTTTTTTGATGAATGAAATATTCTTATTATGTTAATGTCAATTGAGTTAATGTTACTTGCTGTCAATTTGAACTTGGGAAAAAGAAAAAAAAAAAAAAGATGGACAGAAGAGCAAAAGGAGGGAGAAAGAGGAAAAGTGAAAAGGGAGAAAAAAAAAAAAGAAAAAAAAAGAAAAAAAAAAAAAGAAAAAAAAAGAAAAAAAAAAAAGAGATGGACAGAGGATGATAAGGAGTGAAGAGGTGACGAAGCGCAAAGGGAGGGAGAAAGAGGAAAAGTGAAAAGAAAGAAAGAAAAAAAAAAGGAAAAACAAAACAAAAGAAAAAAAAGAGATGGACAGAGGATGATAAAAGGAGTGAAGAGGTGAGGAAGTTCAGACAGGGATTAGTATTCCCTGGAGTCCTGGACGTTTACAATGAGGTTAGCTTGTTCACCGAAACTTCACCGAAACTTCACCGAAAGTTCACCGAAGTTCACCGAAAGCTCACGGAGTTTTCAGAGTCCGACATCAGTGGGTGGTAGAGGGAGGTGGGCCGATAGGCGAAGGGTTAAGCGGAAAGGCTCCTGATGAGACCGGGGCGCACCCGGTTGAACCATGTAGAGGAATGCGTGCGCGTTTGAGCGATATACACGTATGTAAGAAACGATTTTTTATGGAATGCGTGTGAAGAGCAATCTGGCCAGTCGTCACTGATCGGTGAGAAACTGCCCATGCAGA